TTATTGTCTGTGTGAGTGTGAGCCAGCCACTCAAACAGGTGTAACTGATTCTTTACACCTCCTGTGTGTATTTTGTCAAGTCATGAAGTCTCTCTTCCCTCTGTCCTTTTGTGCGAATTCCATCAACTTGGATGCTTTGTTCGGCTGCTAAGGAAAACATTTGTCTTGTTTTTCTTTTTTTCTTTTCTCGCCCCTTCTCCCTCTCCTTTTCACCCCATTTTCAAGTGTGTCATGATCGATTTGTAGCATGGCGGTAAAGTTCAGCTGCGAGGAGGCGGGGGGAGCTCTAGGTGAATGGGATATGAGTTAAATTTATGGCTGCAGAGCAGAGGTACTGTTTGGCAACATTTATATACACACACACACAAGGTCCAGATGTTGTGTCCTCTGGCTGCCCCGGGGATGTTAGTAGTAATGTAGCTCTCTGACGGCTGCGTTACGCTTCCTTAAGCTGAAACACTGTTTATTGGGAAAAGGTGAGCGGAGGCAGGAGCACAACCCCGTAATCCTCAACTGCACTTGTATTGCTCCAGCCGCCAAGCCCCGATGACATCTTCATCGAAAGGCTCAAAGCTGCACGTGCCTTCATATCCGAGTGAATGATGACATCATGGCGGTGTGATCTATGGAGCGCGTATAGCTGTCTGCCATGAGAGACGTCAAGCCGGTTTATTTGCCTTCAGCCCTGGAGCTAGTTGGCCCAGGCAGTGCAGTGAAGGCCTGAGGGATGCTGTAATGGCAAAACTAAGCCTGTCTGCTCGAGAGTTGGTTCACGAAAGGGTGATATATTTGAGTGGGGGTGGGTTTTTTTTGTGCATACTTTAAGGATAAATTTCTCTTTTTGTCCTCCCCAGTCCACAGATGGTTGAAATGTTTTGAAGCTTCTGTAGTGTTCCAATTGACTTTTTATGGCTCTAGGGAAATTTTGTACAAATATTTGGTAGGTTTCTATGAAAATTGGTGAAGGTGCTCATAGGATATGACTTTGGTGATTTTTCTCTTGTGCCACCATGAGGTTAACATTTGTAGTTTGAAGTGAAATATCGCAACAACAATTGGATGGACTGTCATGAAATACACACATTCATGTTCCCCTGAGAATATGTTTGATAACTTTGGTGACCCAGTGGCTTTGAATCTCTGTCATCACCAGGTCCAAATTTCATTTTGTCCAATACTATGGTTTATGATCAAATACCTGCCAAACTAATGACATTCCCATCAGCCTCAGTTGTGCTTTGTGTTTAGTGACAACTAGCAAATGTGCACTCTAAACTTAAAGGGTGAACATGGTTAACATTATATCTGCTAATCATCAGTATGTTAGCATTGACACTGTCAGCCTGTTAACATGCCGACGTCCGCATCAAGCTCAAGTAACAGCCTCACAGAATGTGTAGCATGGCTGTAGACTCTTAGCAGGGATTCAACCATTGTTATTCTGCTGCTTTTGGTTGCCGTATCATTTGTCATGACAAAGTGTGAGGTAAACGGTAAAAAAGTACATATTACAAGTAATACACCAGGAATGTGCACTTGCAAGTATTTGATTGCCTTGTAGGATGACGCCTCATTACATTACAGCAAAAGTTTTGCCTTGTTCAATTACTGTGTGTTGTTTTGCTGCAGCCCCATTGAAATCAATGAGATGGCTGCATCTTGTTCACCTATTAAGCTACTATTCAGGTCATTAGAGAATGATTACAGTGATGCATTGGAAAACACAAACATCAGTCTGACACTCATCTGGTGCTCAGTGGTAGATTACATGCAAGCATGACTGAATATGTCACACACAAAAAAGTGATGATGCAGAATTTGGGCTGTTTACTCTTGCGTGTAATATTAATACAATTAGAATCCACTGCTGTTAGCTAGAAATATGAATCAGACACCACATGTTGCTCCTAAAAGCAGTTCCAGTGTTAAACACCCTGAGCAGATTAAAATAGCCAGAGCTCAACTCGTTCCTAGTTTGGTCAGAGTGCCACCTCTGCATTGTCTTGCCCCTGGAAGGAAATCAGCCAGTTGTGCCGGTGATTAACCGCCCAATGACAATGAATTCCCCCCGTGTCTGTTTATACCGCACTGACTTTAGCCTTTCTCCTACCCCCTCTCTTTTCTGATCTATTGCTTTAGTGGAGGTCTTAGTTTACTCTGGACCTCTCTCGTACATCTGGGCTATTTTTCAGTCGACTCTTTTGCAGGGACTTATCAAAGCAAATATGAGTTTGGTTACCTGCACGAGACATAGCGCCTGACTCTGAGCTGAAAAATGATCTTGAGTCACGACTTAAGTGTTTATTCAATCCAGGACTTATTATCAACTCTGTCAGTGCTTTGGTAACGTAACTTCTGAAATGTGTTTGAGAGCCAGGTCAGTAGAGTGTTTTGTAATCCCTCTTAGTGGATAAAGCTATTTGGGCGCACACCGGGAGCCAGAAAACATCTGTATTGCATACAGATGGTGTCAGATAAAACGCTGGTATGGACAAAGACATATCATCCCTGAGAGAGGTGCAGAAGTGCACATGTGAGAATTTCCTTTTTTAAAACAGTGATTTGATGTTGGCGTGCGCGCTCAACATATGTAACAATGTCAAGTCCTTCATAGCTGAGAACAATAAATTTGGTTTCAACCACCGGTGTGGCCTATTCATCTGACTGCTTATGATTTATAGTTTGTTCTGCTTAACTGACGCAGGGATGGTTCCAGCACAGGAGTCTTTTGCTTCAGTGCGTGAAGGGCCAATGTGTAACATTTAGGAGGATCTATTGGCAGAAATAGAATATACTATGCATAACTGTGTTTTCATAAGTCTAGAATCACCTGAAAATAAAACTTATGTTTTTGTTATCTTAAACTTAGCCTCTTATATCCTCAAACGCTGTCGATTGCCTTTCCATGGAGGCTGCCATGTTGAACCACCACATTTCTACAGTAGCCCAGAACAGAGAAACCAAACACTGGTTCTAAATAGGGCTGTTTTACAGTCACTGTAGTTTCTCCTTCGCGCCTGGAAGAGGAGGGTGAAGCGACGGAGTTGCAGTCTGTACCTACACCGCTAGATGCCACTAAAACCTGACTCACTAATTTGTACAGAAATATAAAAATAAAAGTTTATGGTTTTGGGGGAGTCAGTTGTTCGCAGTAACTTCCTGGAATCCTGTTGTCACAGAAATTATTTTTAAGCTGCTGCATTTGCTTAGTTACTGCCACAAGTGGTTGCTTATCAAGAGATGATTCATCCTAAAATTAGTGCCACATTTCTGCATATCTTTATCTACTAAACAAGATAAGATGCAATTTCAGTACTCCCACGGCGAAGGGAGTGAGTTATGAAAATTGAAATCACTGAAACAATTTCACAGACTAAAATATGCCCACCCATATCCTCTATTTTATTCTATCCCTAAAAACTCCTGCTTCTCCCGGAGCAAGCTAACATATGTGTGTCATTTATGTGTGTCCACATGTTCCAGAGTAAGAAACACCCTGAAGAGGGTTTGGGAAGAGCAAACAGTGATGAAATGTTTGATTCAGACAGTTTAAAGAAATTGAAATCGCCAGACCCACCATTTTTCCCTTTTAGCAGTCGATTCTCAAACCACCAGGCCCGGCATGTGGCAAGAGTGACGTCAGAAAGGAGAGCAAAGGAAGTGGGCTTTGAGTTAGAATTGATGGGGCCCACATGTGTGTACCACGATGTGCGCGTGTGCTTCTCAAACTAGATTTATAATATTTCTGTGTTCAGCCTTATTTGTTCAACCATTAACTTCAGTTGTAGATTCAGCATTCTAACATAGTTCTGTGTACGTGGAGGTTGTCCAATGCAGAGCCCCTGTTACCCTGTAACCTACTTCGTGTTCAGGGGCGCAACATGGCAGCTCAAGTTCTCCCCATTTGTTTTTGCAATTTGTCATCTGCGGCCATTCAACAGTGACAGGAGAATGAGGCGGCGCACTCTTGTAGAGGATGTGAGTGTCAATCCTTAGAAAATAAGCCCGTCTTCTTGCCGTACACAGACGTCCAGCCACGCTCCTTAGGGTTAGTGTGGCCATAAAAATGACAACAGTAATTTGGAGAGACACAGTAGGCTGTGGGGCTAAAGGCTCCTGTTCCATGGAAACTTCATCGCTGACCCTCCATGCCTTATGGGAAAGCTCAGTGTAACTCTAGTATTAGTACACAGATACCAAGGGGCTTACTGACTCACTGTGAGACATTTAAAGTAGTTAGGACCTGACAGATAAGCTCTAAATAGAACGATTTTAGGGCTTTTTAAAGCCATGGTTACTTAGGAACCACACTTTTAAGTAGTTGATTGGCAGTCTGTGAGCCAGCCTTGTGCATCTTGTCTCTTCTTTTATCCTCACATTCAAAATTACAGTAAAGTATAACAATGTGTACAAAATCCAGCACATTACCTGCAAACACCCTCAATCTCCCATTTCAACACTCGCAGTTGTTTTTAGCTGTTACCTCTGAAAACATGTGTAATTTGCATTTGAAGACCACCCATCAAACCTAGCACAGCAGTGCTGTTTTGACACATATTCCCCATGGAAACAGTGTAACAACGTCTCAGCACCATGTACACACACACACACACACGGACACAGTGTCACAGTTTGGTAATACAAGCTAAACTCAGGGCAGAAGTCACCTTGTCTGCTACATAAACAATAACAAGCGCCCCTTTCATGGGACAAGTCCTGTTCTGTCCAACCACAGAGATCTGTCAGAGGCACCTGGGAATAGTCCTTTCTGTCATCCTCCCCGTCTCTGTCTTTTTCCCTTCCCTGCAAATCATTCACTCATCACATCCCTCGTTATCTTGAACTATACCTCAAGGTTATTTTTAAAGTTAGAATTTATTATAGACACTATGACTTTAAAAAGCTATGATCAGGAGGTCAAATGAGATGTATTTTCACTTGCCTTGTTTTGTCATCTGATTTAAATTAAATTTCAATTCTTTGCATGGTTTGTCCTATAGAGTGCCAAGAGCCTTCAAAGCAACAAGGATTCAAGGATCCTGTGGGCCAAAGACGACCTTTTACTAACCACCGGCTTTGATATGGTGAGAAATTCTTAGGCTCAACTTGTTAGATGTGCTGACCTGGAATCCTGTGTTTCTAATGTGTGTTATTTTATGAAATAAAACAAGTATGTGTGTATGTGCAGTTTGCATTTGTTTGGAACTGAAGTTGCTGTTAGCAACTTTTTTGTGCCAATATTTATTGGCAAATGTGAGCATTATGGTGTATAACAAGTATAACATGACTTCAATAACATGGCAATTCCTTTTTATTGTATTGTACGTATTGTTTGCACACACTGAACATTGATTATCTTCTGGGAGGAATGCAAATGTTTGACATGGTTTGGCTATTAAGCTGTTTGCGTTGTTAGTATTATCAATTCTGCTTCACTGACTTTGTCTCTATATTTGGTAAAATATTTGATATTTTACCAAATATTTTTATATTATTTTATATATGCTAACAATATTATATTTACTTTCTGCAATTTTGAGTGTTCAAGTTCACTATATAGTCCCATCAAAAATGTTAACAATGGAATTGAAAATGTACAATATCATGCACAGACTTTGTATTAAAAAGTCCACGCAATGCACTGAATTTGCTTCTGAGAATAAATGACTACAAATGAATATTACCATAATGCATTGCTGCACCTGTCTGTGATAACTCACAATCATGATGATTCCTAAGTGTAACTTCTTATGAACTCCTTCTTAATCAGCAATTTCAAAACTAACACACACCAATATGTGAAATTCTAAAATAACCATTAGTCCAATACACTGAGAGACTCATTTATCTGTGTAACCTTAGTGCGTATGCTTTTTGTGAACTTCTCATGTTGTGTGTACTGTAGATGCGTAGTCGGGAGGTGAGGCTTTGGGACAGCAGGAAGCTGAGCTCTTCACTCAGCTCGGTGTCACTTGGAACTTCCAGTGGGTGAGTACAGCATCAGTGTGTAATCGCTGCCTCCCATAACTGACCCTGTGATGACACTGACCCTGTTGCACTTAAATTACAGTGAGACGGCGAGTGGTCGGGTTTTACAGTACAAAGTATGACGTGTGTGATTGTATGTACTCTTCATGCAGTGTATGTATGTGGCATTTACATAAATGAAACGATGTATGGAGGTCTTCCGCACATTATGAAGCTCCCTCACGGCCGTATGGCTAGACAGACATGTAGACCTCCCAGAGCTCTGACACTGTCCCTCTACATTCCTGCTATTTCCTGGGTCAGAGCCACACACAGAGACTCCTATCCTCTCTCTCTCAGTGGAGGAAAGAATGAAAGTACAGTATGTGTGCGCTCTGCATCCCTCTGTCCATAACCACTGTGAAGGGTCAGGCACCAAACAGTAGACACATTGACACTTCTCCCTTAAGCTCCACTGCTGGTTGCTTACTGCTCCTGACCTGCTCCAGGCGCTCCGTTTATTTTTCCAAACACGGCTACAGAGGACCGGAGGAGGGCGGGAGTGTGGCCGGGCTCCAGATAGGAGAGGAATGGAAGGATGGAGGACGAAAGAGAACAGAGAGGGTGGGAGTGAGGGTTCCTTTGTCAGATCCAGCTCATGCATTTTAGTACTATTATAAACAGGTTGGCTGGCCAAGTCATTCCAAACTAGAGCAGACCGGACTCTGCCAGACGATTCAGCATGCTGTGGTGGATTAGATAGATTTATTATCATTATTATTACTGTAAAAAGGCAGAGAGGTAGCTGCACATTGCACTCATACAGAGGAGTGCTTAATGCTTTGCCTTTGTGTGATAATGCTATTGCAGCACAGATTCCACATTAGGTCTTTGGCACAGGTATTTTGTGCCTATGTTTGGTTGCAGCCAACGACCATACATGGCGAAGATATACAATGTGAATTTATGTAAATAGTAATCGTTTTTATTAGCTCAGGACTAACGTAGGGAAGCGGTGTCTTGAGGAATGTCACAGTTTTTTTCCCTTCCTCTTTGGAATCTGTGTGTCTGTGTGTGAGACGTTTAGGAGTTGACACAGCGGGGTCCTAAATAACAACCTCCACTCTCCTTCCTCTCTCTGCCCTCATGCTCGCCACTCATCTCCATTTCCTCCGCTTCCTCCTTCATTTGAGTGAGACAGATAGTTGCCTGTCTGAGGGCCTCTTTGGAATCCATGGCATTGTTTGGTGCCAGCATACTTTTCATGGAAATGGAGGATATCCGATACCACTGATGCCACTTTTTTTTTAAACTTTATTTTACTAGCTAATATGTTTTTGTGTGATATTCATTCTTGATATAGACAGTATGGAAAAATCCCTTTTATATACAGCACATCAGGAACTGGGTGTCTGCTAAAACCACAGAAGATAGTGTTAATTAGTTAATTTTATTGGGAGGTTTGTCTCTGCTTGCAGACAGTGGAATGTTGATGTTCAAAGTCTATAGCCGCTGCTTTGTGGGTGTGATGATGGCGCAACTTGAAGAGAATGCTCCAGTAATGTGAAGATTTCTGTCAAATCTTCTTGCTCATCTGGTGACAAGCTGTTCCTGATGCCTTCCTACTCTGCCACTGATTTTCTAGGTGTCTGTCCACACTTTCTTGAATCAGTAGAAGAGCACAGCATGCTGGGTTTATTAAATACATATTAATAGCTTTGTATTTGAGAAAAGCCCTTTTGGTTTCCTGTATTTTGATACTAGTTCATTTGAAATACTGGGATTTTTATTGCACATAATTGCTTGGGTGTGTGCTGACCCATCTGCAGTGTGTCCTGTATTAAATCACTTCAATCATGCTATCATATGCCGGGATGTTGTGTCAGAGAGCCATCACTCCCAAGGTCATATCCCCTCCACATGCCTGCAGACCAGCACTGATATAAAACAGGTAGGCAATCAAATGCCGGATGAGACCTTGTCCTTTACTGCCATTATTATTTTTCTCCTTCCTTCTCATTTCTCACACTTACTTGGACGCCATATTGCCTTCACCCTCCTCTCTCAGACTTTTTACCCTCTTTCTGTTGAGACTGAAGGACATCTGTTAAAAAATCTCAAAATACAAAACTTAAGTCTTTAAAGTTTTCCCTCAAACAGAACAGCTATATTAGACTTTGTAATCACTCATTCGTATTCAGTCATATCCATCTAAGCACTGGCACTTTATGAAGCTAAATGGCTCCTAGACGTAGTCTACAATCAACAAACGCTGATAACAGAAATGGCTGGCCTGTTTCTAGGTAATCTGCAAGGTCAAAATGTTCGCTTACTCAGTCTGGCTGTATCTTGGTTTTATCAATGTTTAATAATGCAACTGGGGGAATAAAGGCTCGTGCCTGGGCCCCCTTTCACTCATGTTAGCCACTATTTAGTCAGTATCTCACTGTGCAGCGTAGTTTCTTAGGTGAAGGCACCACACTTTGCCATCATTCAACTGGTTTCCTTCAGCATCAGGCTGTCCTCAAGTTCCCTTTGTCCTTCAGGGTTTTAATTCTTTGCTTCTGGTTTGTTATTATGGTGGCTTTTCTGTGGATAATTTTGTTTTAGTTCAGCATTGCCTCAGTGCATGTCTGTGTATGACGAAGCCACTGTGAAAAATTATAAATGCAATAATCAAAAGGAGACCTTGACTCCATTTTCTCTGCATTTGATAGATTGAACTGTCTCATTGTACACGAGCAGCTGAGGAAGCTCAAAGTCAAACATCCATAGTGGAGCATTTCCTCCCTGTCATTTTAGGCCTGAGGTGCATATAAAGATGGATTTGTTCTTTTTTCTTGTCTGTTTTTAATTAAAAGGTCCGTGGTAAACATAGTGTGTAATCGGAGCAGCGAGCTGGCTTGTATCAGGTTAGCTGTGCTCGTCCACAACATTCAGTAGGACTGTTTTCTTTGGAGTGTCACAACATAAAGAGGCCCGGGAGCATGAGCCAGTAAAATGGGGTTGTGGGTGGAATATAATTTGGATGGAGAATAATGGAGGGGAAATGTTTACTTTTTGGTTGGGGTTGAAATGGAGACTGAAAAATTGAGGGAGGACGGGTGATGAGTCTGAGAGCGGTGTTTTTAACTGTGCAGAGGTGGCTATTACTGCATGCACGTTTTCCATACAAGCTGCAGATCTGGACATAGGAGAACAGCGTGGATCTTTGTGTACTGCTCTTTCCTCTCATACTCTTCCCTCTATAAACCTGTTAAATTATAATAATGAGTTTAATTGGGCCTCTAAGCCAGCTGCAATCAGTGAACTTTACAACTGGGCACGATTGCAACCAGCTTGCCGTGTAAATGCTTGAGACGTCATGATAATTATCCATACTCCCCCACTTTAGCAGCTACACACACAGATTCACCACACTCAGAGTTTAACACAGCGAAGTCTTGATGATGCATGCCTGTATAGTAGCTTGTAATCGTGTCATAAAGTTGACAGTGAGTTCTCCGAGGGTCAGAAGGCTAGCATTCAGCATGACAAAACTATAACCTCAGAAAAAGTTCTTTCCTTAACCCCTGTAATTAACCTCAGTCAATACCAATGTTCTGCTCTCCTCAAGCACATGAACACATACACAGTGGACACATGTAGGCCTATGCTCTCATGCATCTTCTATTACTCCTCATCATGGCGCACCTCTGCTGCTCTGTTTTTTTTTTTCTGGCATGAGGCTGATTGGAACAGATCGCCGTGACCCAGTGCCCACCAGTATCCATCCTGCCGATTGGAGGGGACATATGTCCCTGGAGAGCCGACCCCACTGTTTTCCCAAACTAGTCACGGGTTACACAAAGAACTCGCCCTCTGAGGTGAGCACTGCTGACAGACTGTGCTGTTAGCTGACTGAGAGGTTTTACGATGGATGCACGGTAGTGCCCCAGGTGTGATGCACGTACTCACACCCTCTACTGACTGTCCACAAGCTATTTCTGTGTGTTTTCCTACCAGGGTCGTGCCTGGGAGCAGGGCCCAGTCATTGGGTGTAATTGAGCCAAACTCCCTTTAATCAGATGGATTGAGAAGAGGCCTGTGCCCCAGAAGGGAACCAGCCTTTTACAGAACAGTCCCCCCTTTCTCCCACTCCAGCCCAGGCGCTCTAAAATCAGTCCCAGATGAAGGCTTTCCTGTGGGGATTAGGTGCAGCTGCAGCGCTGCTAACCAAACCATACCAAAAAGAAAAAACCACAGAACGATAGTTTGACCTTGCTCCTTTCTCAGAGTTCACTTTCTAAGAGCAAATGGAGCTTTGTTGTTTGGGTCCAGCTCAGAAATTCATGTTTAAGGTGGAGGGAAGGGCAAGACTACAGTATTCAGTTGATCCTCTGGGTCAAGTCGGCTGTTGCAGGATGGCTTTGGGGGAGGGTACAGTGTAAAGATGTGACCGCACACGCTCTGTCAAAGAACCTGAACTCTGCGTTCTGACAGTTGAAACATGGTGTCTGGAATCTGTTAGTCATTTGGGGTTTCAGTTTGTGATTCAGTAGAGGGGGAGTTCATCAGGAAAAGAGGATGAAAAAAGAGGAGGAGGGAGCTCTGAAATCCCCTCTTATGTTGTCTCTATGAACTTTAATGGGCATTTCGTGGCGGCTCACGTGGAAATCCCATCCTTCTTTTACTCCATAACACCTCATTGAAGAAGCCCTGTGTTAGTCTTTCATACCCAGTGATCAACTAACTATTCCTGGGCCCTTAAAACCTGTCAAAAAAAACAGCCGCTATCCTTCAGTGAATCCTTTCTTTATCCTTATCTGGACACCTATTAGACTTTCTGTCTGTTACCATTTGCCCCCCCTCTCCTCTGTTTCTCACTCTTCTTTCTCTCTATCCTGCACAGAAGAAATGGAAGGAGGGTGCTGAGTTTTTTGAAGGTGCTGGTGTCTGGGATTCTAATTAAGTTTTTTTAGAGTAGAGCCTAATGTAGCCTTTCAGAACTGGTAAAAACACATGGAAGTATGTGGAGCGTT